GTTACAGATGCATAAATTAGAAATATGAGATTTTAATAATTCAATTCATATAACACACATAATTACAAATATGAAAATTTACATATAGTTACATATGTATAAATATACATATAGTTAATACATATACATAATAATATATACATAATACAATTCATACATATACATAATAATATATACATAATATATACATAATATATACATAATAATATATACATAATTACATGTAGTTAATATGCACGTGTTGATAATTATTAAGAATATATTATTTTATGTGAATATACAACGAGCTACTGAAATTGAAGCTTGAAAACAAAATTGTGCCTGGAAGGAAATTACATATTTATTTTTTTAATTTTTTATCTAATCAAGTTAATTGAAACATTAACGTATAAATCTGCAGTAATAATTAACAAACAATTTAATTAACAAACAAAATTTAACATTTTTAACATTTTGCTTAAGTTTCTTAATTAAACTTTATTATATTTTCATTTTGTAACGTTATTCATCTTTTTGTTGTTAAAATTTTCTATTATTATGCAGAATATGTAACTTTATATTTGAATATATATCCTAATATTTCAATATCCATTTTTTTATTATATCGCTTTCTCTGCTAAATGCAATCATCATATTATCGACGTAATCGATTCCCAAAGAGGATTGAATTATTAAGCGTTATGAGCTGGTATATTACATCCGCGCGAGTCTTGAGCTATGGCTCATAGCTCAAGACTACATGTATCTGCAGCTGCATATGCCGATACATGTGGTTAGGAGGATGTGTGCCTTGGTACTATAAATGCCAGGCTGCGCGCTTGTGTACGAAATTGTTATAGTCTACCATAACGTGAAAATTATGAGGGAAATTGGAAAAGAGGAAAAAGAGAAAAAGGAAAGTCTGATAAAAATCTTTAATATATTATATATTTTTATATATTAAATTATACATATAATTACACATATAATTTAATGTATATTATAATTATATATATATAAAATATTTAATTATGCATAGAGTGTGTTTATGCGCGTCCACGCACATGTATGACTTATTATATATCATGTGCTTTCTGCTTTTTCGCTATATTTTTAATTAATTATCTGAGCAACTACTTCATTATACGTAAGTCGCGAAGAAAATCTTTTTGTGAGTTCAGTAATAGCGTATAATTATGCCAGCAATTACTCGTCGGTGTTTCAGAGCTTTTTCCTATGAGATATATTTTGTTCTTCTTTTCTTGGAGGGAGAAAGAGAAAGAGAGAAAGTTTCGTACCATTTTGCACTTTGCATAAATTATTTTTATTTAATTATTTTTTACCTTTCAATTTGCGTTTGCTTTGTCTATTATCTTGTATTTAGTTCACCTCGCGTCATCGCTGATGAGCCTTAGCAGCTTCCTTCGTCCATGGGCAAAGTTTTGCCGCACAGCTCGTCAATAAGAGGTACAAGGATTAATTAAAGTTTCGCAAGCGTGATTCCCTTTCGACGATCCTTTTCCAACGGTGGACAATGAAGTTATTTCCCCTCGTTTCCCATCCTTTTCAAGATATGCGCGAATTTGTGCGCTTCCCCGTTATGACGCCATTTTTTTTTCAAGTTTTGCGCGCAATTGTCGATGACACGGAGTTCGATTGCGGTTCACTCTCGTCGTTTCATCGATGAACTGGCGAATCCAATTTTCTTACCTTTGTACCCGGCGGTCCGAATTCCAGTTAGAACTGACTTTACGGATTTCGACAAGCGTCAGAGATCACGGTTGCCCGAAACGAGATCTCTACCGTTAAAGTTGTAACCACGTAACTCTCCCGCGTTTCGCGGTGATTTAAGAGGCTTCGCACTTAACCAGAGAGAGAGACGAATTCCGAAACTTTAAGTATTCCAATACTATTTGCTATTTAGCATTATCAGTCACAAATCTATATATTTTTAAAGATATACAAATATTATTGAAATATTTACAAATGTTTGAAAATTCTTTAGATTTCTGATATCAAGGTAGCGAAATGAAGATTTTCAAACTGAAATATTTTCAAGAGTTTTTACTTTTGTCAGCAGCAAAATAATTGCTGTATTAAGTAATATTCAGAAATGTCAAATTTTAAACGTACAAAACATTTAGAAATTCAATATCAATGTTGAATGGTTATTTGTCGTGGAAAACATAATGGGAAATGTGCAACATTTTCAAAACCGTTAATTGCATAGATATAACTTTTTGTTTTTGCGAGTTTATTGGATGGTTTTGCGTTTAACTTGAGTGATAATTGATTGACGCATGAATATTTTCATTACATTCTTTGACATACTTTCAAAAATAAAATGCGAACACGTGGCTAATGGAATATAAAAGAGGAAGTTGCCCGTGTGTGGTATATCCGGGATAAATGTTTGCTTATAATGGAGTAAATAAACAAACAGTGTATTGCCACGTATTGATCAGCAACCGAAACATTGAATATATAAATCGTTAATTTGACGAATGTCCGCGTATACTCGCGTGCGCGAACAAGCGTATCTATGAATATTTTATGAATAAATCCATCGTATCATCAAACTATGCACCAAACACCGAGTGATACGATAACACTTTAGTTAAGTATTGACGATTCACATTAATAGACTATCTAAAATATAAATATACAGAGTGATTCATATAAAGTGACCGATGTGAATATTAGCTAAAGTTGAAGAGTTATGAAAAAATTTTTATACCAAAAGATGTTTGACGCAGAGAGGGACATCATATGGTACAAACGATATTTTTATAGATGAAGGCATTAAAGAGATTTCAAGATCAACTTAATTTTTTAAATGGAACCCCCTATTTTATTACGTATTCTTATAGCTTATCTCGAGAGCTTTCCAAAACACTATAATAAAATATTTCTCCCTTGAGTTATGAGGCTTGAAATAATTTCTTAATTTTACATCTCTGTGTCAAACATCTTTTGGTATAAAAATTTTTTCATAGCTCTTCAGCTTTAGCTAATATTCATCGGTCACTTTATATGAATCATTCTGTATAAAGAGTCGCTTTATATAAAGTTTAGAGAGTGCTAATATTTACTACGCATCCATTACCTATTTTAACAGGTAATTTGATCTTAAGTTAATCTAATAAAATATATACTTAGCAGAGATTGAAGCGATTAAAAGATGCGATTGCGCTAATCTTAATTCGCGGTTAATTCTAATCGAACCGGTAATGTAGTTATATCGTAAATACATAGGTCGATGGCAGGATGAGATTTCTGAAATAATGCGGCTGTATGCTTGTCGCAGCGTAGACAGACTCACGTGCTGCTTTGACGTTTGGTTTGCGGCTTAATTTGCATGTGATAAATGCGCCAGCACGGTCTGTTCCGCTTTCACGGATGGCACCGGAAACGCGGTCTTCTGCACGCATAAATGCAAAATCGAAACTTTGGTAACCTTTCACCTCTTGTGGTGGCTCCGCTCCAATGACCAGCGGATGGCCGTTCGTGGCATAACTTTACCGCATATTTTACGCGGTAAGCACGCTTATTACACTTAACATGCGAAGCGATACGTAACTATGCTAATTATGAACGCAAGAGCAAATGGTGTTAGGTTTGCACGTGCTGAGGTATTTAATTTATATAAATAATTTTGGAAAATTACGAGGGAAAAATGTGAGAAAAAAAAGAGAAAGAGAGAGAAGCTTTAGCGTCTGAATAACAACGCATAATTTAATATACCCGGTTGTAAATGATATGCTTGTAGAGCGTCACATGGAAATCAAGTTAAATGTTGCGCAGGCGACTTAGACATAAACTTACTAAGATGTAATTATTCACTGCTGAGTCCTTTATAATAATGACAAATGACTATTCCTTCCGTTCTCGCTCTGTTCTCTATTTTAGGATACGCTTCCAGAGAAAGAGAGAGAGGGAGAGAGAGAGAGAGAGAAAGAGACAGTTGTAACGGTAGCTGCAATGCGCCTAAGGATTCTTCTAACTTCTCCATTATTAAACTTTCGTATGCTGGATCATAGTATCGGGATAAATTGTTTCCACGTATTATCGAAAGAGAACTTGTACGATATCGCGCCTGGCCTTAATTTGCTGCGATTCACGAAATTTGTACATGATGCGTGAATACAATTACCTCTCTCATATTCCGTAGTATTAATTAAAATTTGTAGATTCTGCTGCGCTGTGTATTATTTCGAGAGCATATTACGAACGAATCGGGGAAAGTTTTAAATTATACCTTCGCAAAGACGAGGCTATTTTTCTTTTGCAGCAAGACTGGTATATCGATTTCCGTTCTCCTTGTCTCACAATGCAACAACGAAAGAAATTAAAATGCTGAAAATATTCTGTGAGTTTATCTCCTTGGCTAAATTTGTCGAAGCTGTCAAAACTTTTTTTGTTTACACGCGACTCTTTTATTTGCGCTTAACAGGAAATGGAAACGATACAATCGATTTTAAAATACGGACATATATATTTGCGTCAGATAACAGCCGTTAACGGTATAACTTAACGTGATTTACGGGTAATACGGTTCTATTTTTATGGCACGCTGTTCCATTAGCTTCGATGAGCATGATTTATGCAAAGTGTTCTTGGCGCTTTCGCGAAAAGAACAAGATTATTCTTGCACGTCCACTTAGAACTCGACCGCATATAAATGTGCCCTGTCTGCGCACTCGTTTCTGTGTAAAGTCACAGGACGAATAGCGATTTTTCAGGGAATCCTTGGAGCTAATAATTTCGAAGATCACTAGCAGGTGAACAAGCAGTTAAACGAGAAATATATGAACTTCTTTCCAGTTTTGTGACTTAAAGTGATTGTTGAGAAAAAAATCTGATTTCTCTAGACTATTATTCTTATTTAATACTATTAAATTTTATTTTTTCATTTCAAATTCACTAATTAAAATTTATAACACTTTCAAAAAGTGGAAAAATGACTACGAAAATGATCACGACGAGATCTCATGATTTACACTGTTTCCTTCTCATTACAGGTATCCTGGGTGCGTAGGCGAGGAGACGAGCTCCATTTACTCACCATCGGCTTGGACACATATGCAAGCGACTCCAGATTCTCCCTGGCCTTTGAGAAGCCTAATGACTGGCGATTGCTCTTGCGCTCTGCTACAGAACGCGATGCTGGCCTTTACGAGTGTCAAGTCAGCGCCCATCCGCCATTAATCAGAACTGTCCATCTAGCGGTGTCAGGTAAGTGAGCGCGTCATTGCGCGTATGTTCATTTGACCGTCCGGGACTTGGCAACCTCGAAGCAATCAAGAGAGCTGCTATTTCCCACTACCAACGATATGCACTTTGATCTGACGACCGCAGTGCGGCTCGTAAATCAACGGTGTTTGTACAGGGTGTCTCGGATTCGTCGCTATTATCGAATATCGCGGATATTAATGCCGAGAGAGAGAAGAATGCTTATGTGGAGCGAATTTTGCTTTAATTAGAAACCTACTTAAAGCCCCGAATATCGAATAATTTTATTTAAAGAGAGAATCAATTTCACAAGTATTGAACAATTCGCGATTGGAAAACCTAGAGCACCCTGTATAATCAATTTCAAGCGCTTCCTCTAGTCTTGATGTAATTACCGTGGTGCTTATTTCGGGCTATATCGCAAAGTTTGTAGTCGTTCGCGTGTATTAACGCGAATGAGGCTAATTTCGCTAATGACGAAGATGACAAAGGCCACATGCATTAGTCTCTTAATCTACTCTTGTAAAGTACTTTCGAAAACTTGTTCCCCGTAGATATATAATCCAACGCGTCTCCCGACGCGTTTTCGCTGGACCATAAATTACGGATGGCCACTATGTCGTTAGGATCGTCCTCTTCGCGACATAATGGCGATCCCGATGCTGTAACGATGTTCTCATGACGCCCGCGTTCCATGCCACTTAATTGCAATCCTGTCTCTTATTCGTACCTTCTCTTTCTATCTCTTTTTCTCTTTCTCTCTCTCTCTCTCTCTCTCTCTCTCTCTCCTTCTCTTTCTCTTTTTATTCATATGTCTCTGGTTCCCTCTCGTTGTTGGCAATATATGGTCAGTCTCTGATATATGAGTTGCACGATCTCATAATTATGCATATAAATAAAACAAGGAAAATAAAGAAAGATACAATTATAATACTAGATAAAATTATAATAACATGAAATAATATCGTCTTCTTTCAATCGCAGTGGATAAAAATATTTAATGGATGTATCGTGTTCTCTAACGTATAGTAATCTCATTAGCATCTATCATCGATACACAAGCTAACGGATAATTCGCAACTGACCAAGGCAGCTATCAATGATTGATTGATAGCTGGCAATATCGCAGTTGTCAGTTATGTTTGATTAATGACGGACGTAAGACTGATAGACACTTTGAAGATCAAATTCAGCTTTCATCTAGGACGTTTGACGGTATCTCTATGGGCCAGTTCTAGCTCCGTGTTGAGTGAGCAAATAGTTCTGTCGAGATTAATGAGACTAGAGCGAGTTGAAAAGAGAACTTGGAACACTTGCAGTTTCAGAATTTATATATTCGAACGCGAGCGATTATAATTATGCGCATAGGATAACTGTGAATTAATCACGGTGCCACGAACACAGAGTGACGTATTTCACGAAGTATAAATTTACGATGACGAGCGCTTCAAAAGTGTTGGTAGAAAACGTCGTTTCGAGAATACGGTCTGTATCGTTAGAAAAAATAAGTCTTGCATCTTTATTGGTTGGCGCGACGACAGTACTTCTTCAACTTTTCTTTTCTCTTCATTTTTCTTAAGTTATTTAAACTTATTTATATCTGTATAAGAAACGATGGATGAAGTTACTGATATATGCAAAAAATGTACCTGGGTATAAGATGCATCAAGATATATCACATCTTGAAGTTTCGTACTTTTTAAAACATAATCTAAAACTTATATATTTTTAAGTAACTTTTTTTTATAAGTTTGTTTACGTAATCTCGATTTGACGGATACAAGCTTGTTCGAAACTGCACGGGGGAAAAAAACATAATGCGATATAAGAAAGCTAAAAAAATATAGCGAAAAATGAATGAAGAGAGGAGAGAAAAGAAAGGTGCAAGAAATATAAAATCAATAAGTATGCAGATATCGAAATATTTTTCAGTCACCGTAGCTGCAATAGAGGGTTATGAAATATCTGACCGAAATACCAGAGAGAGGTACAGGCCCGGGATAAATTCCATGTTCTGTGAAATAAACGGAATATTTCGTGGACCCAAATGGTGGAACGAACGATCCTGGTATATTATTCCTCTACATATCATTCGACTTTCGTTTTAACTTATAAAGTCCGCTCGAGCGTATCATTTTTCCATAACCCTTCGAATGTCGATACAACGAGTGAAGAGATCTTTCTTATACATTAAAGATTTCGAGGAGTGAGATACGTGATTCGCCAGACCATGAACAGCTTGACCGTACATATTTCGGCTTCTTTGCTATGATAATTTGATTTCCTATCAAATTCGATTATGCGGATAGAGCATACATGTATACGTATAATATATATATATATATATATATATATATATATATATATATATTTAATTTTAAATGTTTAATTTTTATTTTTATTTAATTTTAATTTTAATTTTAATTTTAATTTTAATTTTAATTTTAATTTTAATTTTAATTTTAATTTTAATTTTTATTTTATTACTTACGCGTCGTAAAATTTTGCTTAGTACTTGTGCCACATTCCCGTGTACAGAACATACATCACGAGGGTCTGTTCAAAATTTATTATCTTACTCTTGGGCAAACGGAAAAAACCGCGAGTAATGATTTCCTTTGAGAATATGCCGATGCGTTCGTTAGCGTCGAGAATTCCCAAGTTTTATCTTATTTTTTCAACCTTTTTTCGCTTCGACTCGCCGTTTTTCCCTTATCGCGCGTTAAAGATTTCTATAACGATCTGTAAAAGTTACAACAGACAGAACATTTAGATCATTTAATATCATAACTTTACGCTTCCATCGTTTTTATCTTGCCATTAATCAAGAAGCTGTCATCGTTTTCCCACGAGCTTTATGTTGAAAGCGACAACGTTGTTCATTGCTATAGGCCGTTAAGCATCGGGGCGAGCGGGCCGTAAAAATAAAGTTGCATTGCAGAACTCAAGAAATAATTTCTGGTCAGCGGCAACTGCCTCGGAGGCTTTATTTCTGGCAACCGTTCAAATAGTTAGGAACTTAAATTCCTCGCGCGACGCCGGCTTTTTCGAGAGCGTAAACTGCTTGTGCCAGCCCCGCGGTCCCTCATTTCACCACCACCGTATCCGAGTTTTGGCATCGTGAATTTTACGAGCCACATTCTAATCGGGTTTCCATAATGGCCCGTCGATTGATGTCGGTTCCGTACAAAAAGAACGCTGGATTAGCGCGAAGACGTTTCTTCTTACATCGTCGTTCTAAATAACGGATATACAGAATAATCGGGAGCTCTTCGTTTAAAATAAAACACTTTTAAAGGGAAAAACAAGCTCTCAAAGTTTTTCCCCCCCTTCTTTGCGATGCTATTATCTAATCGATCGTCGAAAAAGCTGCGCCGAATATCCCATACTGTTCTCTCCGAGAAGGACGCGATTTTATATTCAGTTAATATTCAAGAAGGGGGATACCTTCGATCCCGATGTGGCTTAGGAATGTCGAAATTTTCACGTGGAGATGCGATATACATTGTGCGCGATTCTAGACCAAAATCGTCGGGAGAGGAATATTCAAGCGAATCTCAGATCGAGGACGAAATATCGATAAAATTTCGCATTTTCGATGCGCGACGTGTGAGGGGATTTTTCGTAGGGGAAAGGGCAGATTGTCTCTCTACGAGGGGACGATCACATCCGCAGACAAACCGTTTCGTTCAGTTATAGAGCCGAGATCCGAGGAACATAAGAATTCTAACGGCAGCTTATGCAATCCCATGCTGAGACGAAGAGAAGGAAATGTGTACTCTCGACTACGGTTCTCGCCATCCGTACTTTTCTCTTCCCTTCCTGCGTTTCTTTCCTCTCTACTTCCGATGCTGCCGTCTCAGTTGGTCGGAATAAATCAGGACTTGCCAATACCGGGCGCTGCGAAGTCTTATTACACAGTCGCAACCGATCTGTAGGCAACCGATCACGCTTATTTATAAAGAGAAGTTTACTTCCTCAACAGTCGATTATTCTCTTTCTTCGCTCGAGATCTCCCTCTTTGCCTTCCCCGCAGTCTCATTATCCGAAAGTATGTATCTAAAAATATATTAGAATTCTTATCAGATTGAAGAACTGATTGAGTTGGGGAACTTTGATACTTTATCTCATCGCTTTATTTTTTAATTCGCAATACATTTCGAGTGAAAATTATTAAGGGGTTATGCCTAGTCATAAAAAAAAACGATTTTTACGTTTTCTAGAAATATATCATATTGAAAATATTTTCTAAAAGTTTCAAATTAATTGAATGCAGATTGGCGGAGTTATAAGTGTTTCAAGAAGCGTCAGAATGTATAACTTCGTTTAAATATCACTATAAAGTTTTAGCACTGATGTTTTGAAGACTATCAAGTCAATATAACAAAGATTTAAATAAACTAAAATTATATGGGCCCGGATTAGATGATTCTGTGTAAATTAAAAAATTTGCATTTTATTTAAAAGTAAACTTGACACAAATCTTAAACGCGTTTTTCTCGAAATCACTTTTTCAAGGTCGGTGAGCAAGTTATTTCGAAATCCGATTTGTTTGAAATTTTACAGATTTCTTCTACATATAAAAATCTAGTAGATGAACAAAGGATTTTGTTTTTTAATGAATACTTTCCTTTACTTTAAAATGAGCAATTTTTAAGCCGAAAAAGCATATCTTATTATTAATACCAAATATCATTTTATCCAAAACAATTTTTCGATTAATCCTTCGTTCATCTACTAGACAATTTCGTATATTAATTACAGTTTATCGAATTTTCGGTATCAGCTTCAAATAATACTGCTCACCGCGCAGCGGTTTTTAAAAAACAATATCCGAGAGAATAGTTATAACTTTTACATTTTTTAAATATTTTATTTTAACAAAATATAATAAAAAATATAATAAAATATAATAAAAAATAATAATATAATAAAAATATAATAAAAAATAAAAATATAATAAAGATATAATAAAAAGATTATAATAACATTCTTAATATTTG